GCCTACGGGTGGGGCTGCCGGTCGCTAGCGGGCTACACGCGGCCAGGAGGGCCGGTCGACGAGCTGCTCGTGGCGGCGTGGGCGGCTAACGGGCGGCGCGCGCTCAGAAACGGCCGCGCGCGGGCTGCTAGGGGGCGACGCGCGGGAAAAAAAAAGGCCGCACGCGGCACTAGCGAGCCGCGCACAGGCAGCAGGAGAAGACGAGGCGCACGAGGGCGCACTAGGAGAACGGCGCTCGAGGGCGCTAGGACGATAAGGCGCTCGAGGGCGCTTCTAACGGTGGGCCCTTAGGTGAGTCCTAGGTCTAGAACCTAAGCTCTTAATACCATGTCAAGAATGAGAAGTGATTGAACTATGAAAAGTTGGAGTACAAGTAGCAAACCCTAGCTTTGTGTACCCCCTAAAGGCTAACCCACTATAGCCTACACAACAATAACACATATAGTGTTTGACATCACCGGCTTCTTTTGTCTGTTTGTCTTATGTCCTAACACTAACGTTTCATGTATGTTTCCAGATTTAGCAGGCTTAAGGTTTGACGAAGCAGAATAGCTATCACGATATTTATCGTCTGTTCCGTTCAGTATTTTCAGGGTAGTGGTTCAATCCTGGTAAGTGCTCGCTCGCTTTCTTGTCTACTAAATTGTTGACTCTTGTTTTAGAGGGACGGGATGTACGCTTGTGGCTCCCCAGCTCGCTCACCTAGTAGGGTCGCTCTTGGTGAATGCAAATCGTATGAAGCGTGTTTAGCAAGTCTTTCTTGGCATATTGTGTATTTGTAACGTCTAATTATAATATTGTAGCTACATACCACAAACGATCACAGCGTGCCCTGGAAACGTCCAATCGAATGCGTACAAAATGACCCAATAGTTGCTTAAACATGGCATTGTATGTACCTACTCTATATAGCCATCTCATGTGCGTGTGGGGAGGAGCTAGAGTGCGCACATTGTACGGACTTCACTGTACCCATTGTCGGAATGAAGTACGGACAGAGTGGCTACTTCACCCCTGGTGTCGAAGTAGGTGGTATGTAGGAGAACATGTACACACATTGTATGCCTAGACTTAGTAAAAACTATGTATATGTCAAAATATGTTCACATATTTTATATAATCGTTTGCAGTTGTAGTGTAGTTATTGCATCATGTTTGGTGGTGCACCTCTTTGTGTTGCTGTTTGCCTATTTGTACTCTCATTTCTCATTAGTGAAGCCCTCTCTTTTGGCTTGCTATTTCCTCTCGTCACCCTCACCTAGTTCAAACCCTAAGCTACTATGCTCCTAATCTTAACATGGTATTAAGAGCTAGGTCGTCCTAAGACCTAACCTTTTCATTCTCAATGGGCCCACCGCGTATTTCTCGGTTTGTGGCGCCCGTCGTGCCCTTAGTTGCGACTGACGTGACGGGCGCGACGGCGAGCTGTCTGCTGCTGCCCGTAACCTGCCCGTTTCCTGCCTGTCGCACTGCATCGTCGACCCTGCTGTCATGGCGACGAGCTGGGCGGGTCGGGTCGCCCCGTTGTTTCTTCGCCCTGTCACCCGCCCCGCGCTACCCGCCCCGTTACGAGCTGCCACAGCCACGCGCAGCTGCGCGAAGCTACGTACGGGCACATGAAGCCGCGCACAGCCGCGCGCAGCCGCGCACAGCCGCGCGCAACTGCGCCGCTCCCCTGCCCCGCACGTGCTGCTCGTACGCCAGTGAAAGGGGGCGGGGGGAGTGTGAGGGGGTGGCGAGAGAGATTCTGCAAAGCCAGCAGCCACCCCTCCTCTCTCTCTCACTGCCGCTCGTGCTGCTGTGGGGGGGAGGGTAAGAGAGGGTGGCGGAAGTCAGTCAGGAAATTGCAGCTGCCACCCGCTGCTACCGTGGCACCTCCTGCTGCCGCCCCTGCCTCCACCTGCCCTTGTTTCTGTTGACTGCTGCTGGGGCCTGCAGGTGCTGCCGTCGAGCCGCTACTGTCCTGCTGCACGTTGCAGCCACAGAGCCTGCTCCTCAGGCGACCTGCCGCCCCTACACCTGCTACTGCTTCTGCTTTGGCTGAGGGCGTGCTACAGCTGTATTTGCCACTCCACCGGCTACTACTGCTCTTGCCTGCTTCTGCTTCTTCCGCTGCACTCTTGGTGTACCCCGTCAGGGGGCGTTTTACACTTACTCCTGCAAACAATTATGGGGGCGTGTCAAAATATGTTCACATATTTTATATAATCGTTTGCAGTTGTAGTGTAGTTATTGCATCATGTTTGGTGGTGCACCTCTTTGTGTTGCTGTTTGCCTATTTGTACTCTCATTTCTCATTAGTGAAGCCCTCTCTTTTGGCTTGCTATTTCCTCTCGTCACCCTCACCTAGTTCAAACCCTAAGCTACTATGCTCCTAATCTTAACAGTATATTGGTTGTCGAAGTGGTGTAGATACATTGTCCAGTCGAACCCATTGTTTGGGATGGAATGACGACTGAGCTTGAGTTGCATTACTGACTTTGAAGTAGGCAGAGATACTGCTGATGACCGTTGGGTAAATTAACGTTTAAAAACTTAGGGGCAGTATTTAGAAGATATAATGGTGTCGTTCGCAGTTTGATCGATGCACATCTTGAGAAGTATTTTCTTTCTGGTTTGGAAGGCCGCGTTGTGAAAGGCGTTTCCGTTTTTCAGCGCATTAGTCTTGTCCCGGCCTCACAGTTCATTGCGGAACACTATAATTCAAAATGTAACTGAATCAGTAATCGCGCATGTGCAAGTATCGCGCATCAACGACAGCAGGAGATCCGCCGTTGGTTGCGGAGTCAGAAGTCGCCGCGATGACGGGTTTTTTGACTGGGTGATCAAGGAGCACATCTGAGTCGGAAGATGTCAGCGGAATCAGGTCGACAAGCCTGTCGACCTGCTGCCCCGGGCAGCAAAAAAACTAAACCCCCATCGGATGGCATGCCATCCGAGGGAGCCTCAACCCTAAACACCATGCCTCCAGGCATTTAGGGTTGAGGCTCCCTGACCGGATGCATGCCCGTCTGGGGTTTATTTTTTTTGCCCGCGGGCAGCGAGCTCCCTCGGGCGTCGACCTGATTCCGCTGAGCTATTTTCGGCGAATGCAGGAGGAACACCTGAGCCATTTGGTTTGGGTTGAGGGCGTGTGACATTTTTCAAATAGCAAAAACGTCTGGACGTTGTACGATGTACGTCCGGACGCTTGCGAAGTTCGTGACGTCGCACGGTTTCTCTGCGATGCAAACGGCGTCGTAAGGACTTAATGCGACGCATACGAGGTCGTCAAATTCTGACGAGTTACCTGGCGAGATTAAACAACTTTAGTAACCACAAAACTGTCCGGACGGTTGGCAGTCCAAACGAAACAAAAAGAAAATGTCAAACGAAATTGAGTGAATATCAAAACTACCGCTTTGCCCTGGTGGGTGGGGTGGGGTAATCAGGTGTGCAGCTGGTATGGTGTTGCGCGGGCAATTGTTGCATCTTCGCGCCGCCAAATCCACCACACTTCTCGCCGCATGATTCGGGGACACGGGAAATTGCGTATCGCCAATAATTGCCGAAACAAATCATGACTTGAAGCAAGCTGTAACAGTAGCACTGATTTGACTGACATCTATAATACCTCTCCTGAAATTATTTCTTTTAGATTTCTCGGAAGTTACAAATCTCATATGGACTTTTGCACCCATCATAACACGTTCACCCAATTCAGATTATCCAAAAACTGCTCTTTCAACCGAAGGAGTGAGAGTCAGGTGTAAATCTTGTCTCAAGCTTCTACCATGCTCATTCCTCACGTGCTCTCTCTGCAATGCCACTGTCAGCAACTGTCAATCCTGGTTTACCCATGCAGGTTCACAGGGTCTGCGCATGCCAGCCCTTCAGCTCTGTCCTGCACCCTCAAGCCATGCCACTGTGTTAGCCATTGATGCTCATACGGGCAGAGTGTGCAAGTCTGGTGAATCCTGTCTCTGTCTTCCATGCCCAGACACTCGGCTCTCTCCCTTGTGCCTTCTCGGCCATGCCACTGTGTCAGCCCCCAACTTCAAAACGATTTATAGAAATTTCTCATATTTGCCCCTTTTCGTACTGTCCTGTCCTCACGCATTCGTTCCCTAACTTTTAGCTTTCAGCCCAACCGTTTTTATTGTATCTGAGACGTTGGCTTCATGACTCTTGGATGAACCAAGAGTGCAGGGGTCAGTAGCCAGGAAGCAGGAGTGTTCAAAAAGACAGGACTGCAAGAGAGAGCCCTGAATCCAATGGAGGATGTGACAAGGGAGATGCGAGAGGGCACATTGCTGTACTGAATCTATTAGGGTAAAAGAACCATGGTTATGGCATTCCACTGAATCCATCCTCCCACAAATGCACGCACCTACTAACCCTGTCACACACGCATGCACCAGCCCAAGCAACGCTACCTGCTACATATATTAAAAAAACGGAAAAAAAACTAGTACATGCGTCAGCAGGCAGTGCAACATGTCCCAGCATATTCACGCTGCTGTCGCTAGCACATCAACTGCTCTGTTCGGCATGATGCAGCTCAGCAGGCAGGGGAACCAGCTGGAAATCCCAAGCACTTCCAAAGCTGGCACCACTGCCTTTGCAGATAAATCTCTTCTGTTCTAAGTGATGCAGGTCAGCAGGCGCAGCACCACCGTTACGTTACAAAGCTAACACTGGCAGCTCGTGTCATCACGGCAGCAGCTAGACTCTGACCCAGCTGCTCCGTCATGGTTGCATGCCCACACCCCAGGCTTCACACCGCTCCGGCCGGAGCAAGGCCACGCATCGTATTACACACCAGACCAGACCACTCAACCACGCCATGCACCACATCTCACCACTCCACCACGTCACGCAACACACCACACCACACCACACCACACCACACCACACCACACCACACCACATCACACCCCACACAACGCCACCAAACCACAACCCACGCCACGCACCACAACCCACGCCACGCACCACACCACACCATGCTTCGTCGCTGTTTACGGCTGTGGCTGCCCCAGCACTGGTGGGTGCCTCAGCACTGGCAGGTGCGCCGCGGCCTCCGCGCCAAAGCTCCCAATCTCCTCCATCGTCGCGGCGTGTGCGTGGCGCGCAATCGTTCCGCCTCCCGCCATCAGTCCCCCCGCCACTCCGCCAACGACGAGCCCCGCAGCCGTATTCGCTAACACTTCATGCCCGTGCTCGATCACCGCTTTGTGCGCGATCCTCCCCGCCCTGCGCGCCACGTCCGACGCGCTCTTTGTCAGAGTCTTACCCGGGTTGTTTGCGACGTAAACGGCCGCGTCTCTGGCGGCCTCCGCGCTGTCTTGAACTCCCTCCGCGAAGCTGTTAGTGGCGGAGATCGCATGGTTTCGCGCGGCTTCGTAACTGTTTCTGACACCATTCGTGAACGAGCTCCCGGCGTTCGAGAAGCTGTTACTGAGTCCCTTCGTCCAGCCGCTGAAATATCCGCCTCCTGGCTTTGATCCAGCCACGGGCTCAGCCGCGCGATCAGCCCCCGCGCTGTTGCTCGCGGGGTTACTTCCCGCGCGGTCATTCGTGGTACCCCCCATTGCCCAGTGGGAGCCCTCTTCCTCCTCCGCCGCGCCACCGCGCGCCTTGTCCGGGTTCACCGATTTTGCAGACGAGTCAGCCCCTCCCCCCAAGTGGGAGGGCAATTCCTCCTCCTCCTCCTCCAAGCCGCGCGCCTTGTCCAGGTTCACCGAATTTGCAGCAGTCGCCATGTCGTAACGCTCCGCCAGTCTGCGGGGGGGCTGCAGAGCCGCATTCGCGTCGATCTTGGGGTCACCGGGGCGGGCCGGTGCTGCCGCCGCGTGGAAGGAGGACAGGCACGCGAAGATTAGCGCAAGGACGAAAACGAAGCGAAGACTCTTCGTTTGTGCACGGGCCGCCATTGCTGCGTAGAATGCTCGATTTATGGAACGAACGGGTGAAAAGCGATAGGTGATGAGAAAATCTAGATCCGATCGATAACTTGATGGTGGGCTATTACTAGTCACTAGAAATTGCTGAGTGGAGAGTGACGACGAAAACTGAGTATTGGTTAATGGACATACGACTAAAAAGGCAGAGACGCTGCTTACGACCGCCCGTTGCGGGCTCGTCTGTCTACTTGGGCTCGCCTAGCCTTTCTTGACCGTACCAGTTTGCTCTCCTTCACACACCTATAATTCGTACCTCAAATAATTCATGTTACAATAGCTGAAGGGAAGGGGGGCAAACTGGTCGTGTCGCCTGCGTGCGCTGGAAATTATCGCGCACAGACTGGAGCAAGGTTGGCGGGAACAGAGGTGGGTGGGGTAGGTTGAACAGGTGTGTGTAGGTGTGGTGCTGTTGAGCCGCGCAATGTTGGCAGCTTCGCGTCACACATTCAATAAGACCTCTCGCCGCATCATGCGGCGACAGCGGAACTCGAGTTATTCCGTACCGTATGAGGGCGCGTGTCTTCTGGTTTGAAGCTAAAAAAAACGTTCAACTTTGGGCTGGTAGCCACTCTCGATAATTTCGTTAAAGGTTGTTAGTGAGGGTCGTGTGTCCAAATTCAAAGTTGATGAATTTGTAGGACACTGAACTGAGGTCGGATTTTGCGGCCACGTAAATCCAAACGTGTGTTCTTCTGCTATTGCACAGTGAATTTTCGAACTGCACGAAAACAAAGAATGACATCGTACCAGGTTACTGAAACCGTATTCGGTGACGAACTATGCTTCCTAGACACGACTCGGGATTTACTGTACAAAGTCGAACTGTGATAGTCAAACTTTGTTGTGTGAAGTGCTTGACGTGAAAAGTTGAGCAAAAAAACATGAACTTCATACACACTCCAAAAGACACGCGCCCTTGGCGTCTCTCCAATTATTGGAACATACAATAATGACAAAGTTATCCACCAACACTGATTAGCTACTGTTTGTGTACTAAATGAATTAACCATCTATACGCATACAGACCTCAAATATTTATTTCCTTGTATTTGGCCATAAAGGTTGATTTAGGGTTTCGCCTCTGCCGGCTTAACCTCTGTAAACTGCTCTGAACATTTGAAGATTTATCTGTTGCTCAGAAGTCCCTTCATCAAGTCAGCCGTTGTCGCCTCATCAAATCAATCTGTCCTTTCCTTGGTACTCATCCCCTCAGCCGTCCCCAGTGCTCTCTCAGCCATGCCACCGTGTCAGCCACTGTCGCCTCGAATGGCCTGTCAATCTCTGTCTCCTATACTCAATCCCTCAACTCGCTCCTGTGCTCTCTCAGCCATGCCACCGTGTCAGCCACTGTTGTCTCATACGGTCGAGGCGCAAACCCAAGCTCCTTCTCTGCCTTGCCCCAGTCAATGTACCTGGTGGAATATTGAAGAGAGGGGAGGAGAGGGGAGGGGAGGGGACAGGTGATGGAGGTGTACTCATGCTCACTCACTCTCCCACTCTCATACTCACATTTGCGCACTCACTTTCGCACTCCAGTGATCACACTCGCAAACTCACTCTCACAGTCGCAAACTCACTCTCACAGTCGTATTCTCACGCACTCGCAGACACACCCACACACACCCACCCACCCACCCACACACACACACACACACACACACACACACACACACACACACTCTCACACCAACGCACTCAACTTCACTCTCACATTCACTTACTCACACATACAAGCACTAACACACTCTCTCACACACACACACACAACCACTCACTCACTCTCTCAGCCACCAGTAAACCTGCGCCATTTCAAACACAACAGGGTGAACCAAGAAATTCTTTCGGCCAATCAGACTCTCCCTCTCACTCTCACTCACACACCTCACCCACTCTCACACTCACACTAAATCTCACTCCCACTCTCTCCCTCACTCACCAGTAAACCTGCGCCATTTCAACAACCACAGGGTCAAGCGAGGGGTCCTTCCGGCCAATCAGAGGCAAGAGTTTCGACACAGTGGCGGCCAATATCCATGCGACATCTGGCGGCACGAACAGAAACGGCGGCGCCACGTCAGCGCAGCGTGCGATGACGTGGAAGTAGTCGTATAAGGTCATGTTGACGGCTCCGAGAAGGTATGTGGCGTTGGGAGGGGCGAATTGCATGGCAGCAATGAAAGCAGAAGCCTGCAGCCAGACGCATGGGGTGGAAGGAAGGATGTGCAACAAATGGATTGATTGCTGGTGGCTGGGTGGGTTTGAGCGATTCAGAGTCATGTTGACGGCTCCAAGGAGGTACGTGGTGTTGGGAGCGGTGCATTGCATGGCAGCAATGAAAGCAGAAGCCTGCAGCCAGGTGCATGGGGTGGAAGGAAGGATGTGCAACAAATGGATTGATTGCTGGTGGCTGGGTGGGTTTGAGCGATTCAGAGTCATGTTGACGGCTCCAAGGAGGTACGTGGTGTTGGGAGCGGTGCATTGCATGGCAGCAATGAAAGCAGAAGCCTGCAGCCAGACGCATGGGGTGGAAGGAAGGATGTGCAACAAATGGTTTGTTTGCTGGCGGCTGGGTGGGTTCGAGCGATTCAGAGTCATGTTGACGGCTCCGAGAAGGTATGTGGCATTGGGAGGGGCGCATTGCATGGCAGCAATGAAAGCAGAGGCCTGCAGCCAGACGCACAGAGTGGGAAAAGGGTGGAACAAACTCGGATTAATACTGTTACAACTATTCCCACAGGGTAAGAGGCACATTGACTATATAGAGGTATGTTGAGCTTTAAAACGGCAACTGGAGGAACACGTTGGCAGCATTGAAAGCAGAGGGCCTCCAGAAAAGGTGCAGCTGGTGGGGAACTTGGGGTCTGTTGCGGTGGCATGCGGTGGTGTGTGGTGGCGTGTGGAGGGATTGCAGTGCTATGTGGTGGTGTGCGACATGGATGGATGGGTTGGCTCCACATACCACCGCACATACCACGTGATGGAATGATGGGCGGCACATACCACGTGATGGAGTGATGGGCGGCACATACCACGTGATGGATTGATGGGCGGCACATACCACGTCCCGCACGTCGACGAATGAGAGGCCGCCATGTGGCACAAAGGGGATGCGCCGCTCCATGATGTCCAGCACTGTGCGGCACGAGCTGAGACGGTAGTCTCCTGGAGGGCATGGGGTGGGGTGGGGTGGGGTGGGGTGGGGTGGGGTGCGTACTGTGTAATTTATGGGAGCAGAGGGGTGTGAGTATGGAAGGGGCAACCATCGCTCCATGATGTCCAGCACTGTGCGGCACGAGCTGAGACGGTAGTCACCTGGTAGGGGGAGTTTGGCGTGTGGTGCATGGCAGATAATAGCAAAGGCAGATAATACACAGGTGAATAGGGGGAAGGCTTGCACTCATCGCTCCATGACGCCGAGCACTTGGCGGCATGAGCTGAGGCGGTGGTCACCTGGTTGGGTATGGTGTTACGCATGGGGAGTGATGGGGGATGCAGGCACATGTGTTTTTGAGTCGACTCAAAACAGTGTTATGCATGGGGTGTGATGGGGGATACAGGCACATGTGTCAATGAGTCATCGCTCCATGAGGCCCAGCACTGTGCGGCACGAGCTGAGGCGGTAGTCAGCTGGTTGGTGGCGGCGCATGGCAGGTTATACGCAAACAGTAGATGGGGGAGGAGGGTTGGGGGACAGAAAAGGCTTGCTGTCATCTCATCGCTGCATGAGGCGCAGCACTGTGCGGCACGAGCTGAGGCAGTATTTGCCTGGTTGGTGGCGGCGCATGGCAGGTTATACGCAAACAGTAGATGGGGGAGGAGGGTTGGGGGACAGAAAAGGCTTGCTGTCATCTCATCGCTGCATGAGGCCCAGCACTGTGCGGCACGAGCTGAGGCAGTAGTCACCTGGTTGGGCATGGGGTGCGTGTGGGTGGTGCGTATGGGAAGGGAAAGGGAAAGCAGGACAGAAGGCACGCAATCATCGCTGCGTGATGCCCAGCACAGTGCGGCATGAGCTGAGGCGGTAGTCGCCTGGTTGGGCATGGTGTGTGTGTGTGTGTGTGTGTGTGTGTGTGTGTGTGTGTGTGTGTGTGTGTGTGTGTGTGTGTGTGCGTGTGCGTGTGCGTGTGAGTGTGAGTGTGAGTGTGTGTGTGTGTGTGTGTGTGTGTGTGGTGTGCAAGGCTGGTGAGAGACATGCAGCACGAGTTGGTCCTCACCCAGACTTTAAAGTGTCTTCTCAAGTTTCAACCCACGTGGCCCCAGAATGAGAGTTGGTCGCCGGCTCCATGCCATGCCATCCCATGACATCCCATCCCATCCCATGACATCCCATGACATCCCATCCCATGCCATGCCATCCCATGACATCCATGACATCCCATCCCATGTCATGCCATCCCATGATCCCATGACATCCCATCCCATGACATCCCATCCCATGCCATCCCATCCCATGCCATGCCATCCCATGCCATCCCATGCCATGCCATCCCATGCCATCCCATGCCATGCCATCCCATGCCATCCCATGCCATGCCATCCTATGCCATGCCATGCCATGCCTTGCCACCCCGTGCTTATATCCCTATCAACTGACTCACCTGTATTCTGAATCTCGATCCACCTGGTCCCAGAATGAGAGTGGGTCGCATGCACAGCAGCTCCAGCCCATGCTGCTCCGCATACCCCCTCGCCCTCTCCTCTGACTCAATCTTCGCCCGGTAGTACGGCCACCCCCCCACCACCTCCCTCACATGCAGCCACGGATGCTCAAACAAAAGCCTAGATTTCTCACTTCACTCGATTCGTGCGCAAGCAAGGGGGTGACTCTGTGCCTCATAGGTTTCTCAACCCACCTGGTCCCAGAATGAGCGTTGGTCGCATGCACACCAGCTCCAACCCATGCTGCTCCGCATACCCCCTCGCCCTCTCCTCTGCCTCGATCTTTGCCCGGTAATACGGCCACCCCCCCACCACCTCCCTCGCGTACGGCGAATCATCGCTCGCCACCTGTCGGGAGTCTTTAAAAGCACCGACGGTCCCTGACGTGGACGCGTAGACCACCCGCTTTACCCCGGCTTTAAGAGCCGCTTCGAGCACGGCTAACGTGCCGTCGACGGTGGTTTGATCGAGCGAGGGGTGCTGTGCGGTGGAGCTCGGTTGAGGGGGTGACGTTGGCGTGGGGGTTGGTTGAGGTTGTGGTGGTGGTGGTGCTGCTGATGTGGCGTCGCGTGAGTGGATGACGATTCCTGCCAGATGGAAGAGGCCTGAGGTGCCTTGGAGGAGGGAATCGAGCGAGGAGGGGTCTGATAGAGATCCGATGACCACCTGAGGGATGGGGATTGGGTTAGCAAGGTTTGGTTGGAGAGACGGGGGAAAGAAAAGAGCACGTATTGTGGGTTGGTGGAAGTGACCAGATGTGCATTGAAAGAGGTATCGAAAGGGGGATTGAGGATGTTTTTGAGACGTCTCGAAAACAACCTCGCTTCACGTGGAAAGAGCACTTATTGTGGGTTGGTGGAAGTGAGCAGATCTGCATTGAAAGAGGTATTGAAAGGGGGATTGAGGATTTCATCACCACCTGAGGAAGAGGGGTTGGTATGGGGGGCAGAGATGGTTGAGGGAGGGAGAGAGTGAGAGAAAGGCAGCAGGCTATGATGTGTGGGAGAGACCCGAGGTGCTGTGGAGGAGGGTATCGAGTGAGGAGGGGTCTGAGAAAGATCCTTCTTTTGACCACCTGAGGCATAGGGGTACATTGCAAGGTATGGAGGGGAGAGATAGTTGAGGGAGGGGGGGTTGGAAGAGACAGGACAGCAGTGTTGGTGGGTGCAAGTCCGAGGTGCCTTGGAGAGAGGTCCGTTCCGTACAGCATGTCCCCACCCAGCATGTCTGTACAGCATGTGTGGTACGCTCTAACCCACCCAGCACCGCGGCAGAGTCCCCAGTTCCCCAGTACTGTTTTTTGAGAATACTCAAAAACCAGCGAGAATTCTCAAAAACCAGCGAGAATTCTCAAAAACCAGCGCGAATTCTCAAAAACCAGCGAGAATTCTCAAAAACCAGCGCGGCAGGGTCCCCAGTTCCCCAGTACTGTGGTGCGATTCGAGAGGGCACTGGCGATATGATGAGAGGACGCAACAGCACCTCGCACTCAAGATCTCAAGCACGTAGGGAGGTTACCGTCCTAGACCAGGATGTTTGGTACCATTTAGTGCCGCTCTGCCGGGTTAGAGCGTATCACGCCTGCTGCATCAGGTGAGTCGTATCATTCTTTAGGAACCGACTCGCCCGATGATGCAGCAGGTGTGATACGCTACGCTCCAACCCAGCAGAGCGGCACTAAATGGTATCAGCCATCAAACCCAGCAGAGCGGCAGGCTACTGTGGCGGAGTGGGATTAAGTTGACTCAGCAGAGTGGCACGGGCATGGGCTGTCTGTCTGCTGACATGACATGCGAGTCGACTTGACGCGTGCCCTGTGCCACTACCACGCGCCTCTGCCACATTTCAGATTGTGCCGCTTGCACTGTAACGACCGACCCGCTAGCGAATTGAATGGCTTTTGAGGCGCTTCAAAAGTCGCCTCTGCCACATTTCAGATTGTGCCGCTTGCTTGCACTGTAACGAACGACCCGCTAGCCGAATTGAATGTGCCTGCAATGCAACGCAGAGGCACCTGGTGAATCGAGGGACCGACTTTGTATGTGCTGCACCCATTTCCAGCCAGCAAGGCCCGACTTTGCTACAAACTAATTAATGCTGTGAATCAAAGCCAATTAGCAGTTCACCTATAGTCTTCCCCCATTCTCACCAAGTGCCTAATCCGTTCTGTACAGCCTTGCCAGCTTGTATCAGGCTGTGGATAATGACTTGGACGAAATCGGCGGGGCAGTGGGGTGCTGCGCTGTCTGAGAGGCACCCAGAGATTTAGGGGAATGAGTTGAGGGAATGTGTGGATGGGGAGGTAGGCTGTTGGGTTGCCTGCGGAGGCACCTGGTGAATGTTGAGTCTAACTTCAAAGTGTTTCAAGGTGACCTTCTGAGTTGAATTAAAATCTACCTGAATCTGCGGGTGGGGCGGCAGGCTGTTGGGTTGTCTGCAGAGGCACCTGACTGTGTGGCCCGCTGCTAAAAGCTGCTGCAGGAGGTGCGAGCCCAGGAATCTGTAGAGATGAGATGTGGATTGGTGTAGATGGGGGTTGATGGGTGTTGATGGGTGTTGTTGAGTGTAGATGGGCAAAGAGAGGTGTAGATGGGTGCTGATGCTTTGCATTCGGGAACTGGCATCAGAATATACCCAGAAGCAATGCCACAAGCTGTGAGCACCTGAATGACAGCCTCTCTTTGAAACTCAGCACTGTACGCGATATAAGGTCAGCACGAAACGCTCTGCTCTTCCAGTCGTACCCCGTAGCGCCAGTCACGGCGAACACCTGACAGCCAGTTGGCTTTTGAGAATACGAAAAAATTACTACCAGCCTAGAATGACAACAAGAAGCCATTCGTCCGTACCCCGTAGCGCCAGTCACGGCGAACACCTGACCGTCAGCCGCCTCAGCGCCGCCATTCGCGTCGCTCGCGGCGGCATTCACGCGCGTGCCATCCCCGCGCATCGCGCTAGCACCGTCAGCGCCGGTACTATCACATCCGGTCGTCGAAATAGTTCCCTGGTTGATACCCGCGCTTAGAGCTGTCCCGTTATTGAACGATGTATTGCCACCCACGTTCCTGTTGATATTCCAGTCATTTCGTCTCGAACCGGCGCGGACGCCACATTTCCTTCTGCCGCTTAGACCTGCGTTATGAAGAGCTGCTTTACTGCCATTCTTGCAGGTCCATGGAACAGGCGTGTTCTGCGGCGACGTAGAGCGTAATCTATGAGCATTAGTTGTGGTTTGCGAATGCAGCCGATTGGACGCTACGAATTGAGTCTCGCGCCGTGAGAGACGGTGACTGTAGCTGATTGTGTTACAAACGAGTGAAACGTTCTGGGGAGTGAGAAACTGTGAGCACTGAAATGTGCTACTGGCGGGAGCCATGGGAGCTACCATCGCGACCACGACCACGCAAGTGACTAAATCGAAAGTTGCGTTTGATGGGACAGGCATTGTGAGGGCCATGGACATTATGCCTATATCGAGGATATCGGACTTGACCGGGGTAGGAGTGGGCTCTCTTGGGGTGTCCTGCATACATCCATTTTATATCACCATTTTGTTTCGTTTTATATCACCAACTTTCTTATTTTTTTACTGGATCACCCTGTACGCGTACAACCCCAAATCGCCGAAGACCAGGCTCGGCCAGACGACCTCGCCTCCCGAACGTAGCCCGCGACGCCTTCGGGCTTGACAGCCCCGAACCAGCACCCAACCTCGCTATCCCGAGGTTCCCGCCTAGCTAGGCCTCTCGCTATACAGTAGAACCATTTGTTCAGCTGTGATTCGTCATTTCCTCGATCATTACGTGAGATTAGGTCACTTTGCTGTGATTCGCGTCGCGTCGCGTATCTTTTCTTGATTTAGGACATAGCTGACTTACTGACTGTGGTTCCTATCGCAACTCAACGCCGTCGACGTTCTTCACCCTGCCTTGGAAATTCCGCGTGCTCACCTTCGAGCTCTGGTTCCCGGCAGTGTCAATTCCGGCGATTGGGCTCACGCCGTCCATTACGGCCATTCTGACGCGACCCCGACACTACGGCAATTTCTGGGAGAATTCTGGACAGTCGATTGGCTATTTCACGACAGCCCGTCTAGCCCGCCATGCCGCAGCGGCACTCGCGCAACTGCAACGACCGCGCTCACTTTACGTATGAGGAGCGGCGCAAGCTAGGGTTCGGGACGCAGAAGGAGCGGCTCGGCAAAGACTCGATCAAGCCTTTTGACGCGTGCGCGCTGTGCCTGCAAGAGGCCGTCGAGCCGCTTAGCTGCCGCAGTGGACATATCTTTTGCAAAGAATGCATTTACACGTGCTTGCTCACGCAAAAGAAGGACATCAAACGGTACGTTTTTTTAGATAATATCACATAGGAGGTGTATACCTAGAGGTAGGGTTCAGAGTGAGGAGCGGCGCAAGCTAGGATTCGGCACGCAGAAGGAGCGGCGCGGCAAGGACTCGATCAAGCCGTTCGACGCGTGCGCGCTGTGCCTGCAAGAGGCACAGCGTACACAGAAGGAGCGGCCCGGCAAGGACTCGATCACGTGTTCTGCAAAGAGCTTGTCTACAGCTGCTGGTGGTTGGGCACAGCGTACACAGAAGGAGCGGCTCGGCAAGGACTCGATCACGTGTTCTGCAAAGAGCTTATCTACAGCTGCTAGTGGTTGGGCGTGGAATGGTAAGTGTTGTGCAAAGAATGCATATACACGTGCTTGCTTATGCAGAAGAAGGACATCAAACGGTGAGACCATTGGCATGTGCGACTGTATATCGAGTAGTGAGTGTGTGGAGCGAGTGGCTTGCTTGCCGCGGCACCAGTTAGGGTTCCGCACGCAGAAAAAGTGGTCGGGAAAAGGAAAAACCCCATCAAGCGGCGAAACTGTGTCAACATGTGATTGTATTGAAGAACCAGTAGCACTGCACTAGTGGATAGGCGAGGAGGACCCCATCAGCGACCCCCATTTCCCCCTCTCACCCCTCTTCTTCCCCACCTCTCCCACCCCCCACTTCGCGCGCAGCAAGCGGGCAGCATGGGAGGCGCAGCAGCGGCAGGAGGAGGACGAGGAGAGCGAGCGAGCAGCAGCGGAGAGAGCAAGAGAGCTCGATGCTTTCGACCGCCAGAACCACGCGGCCCTGCCCCCCACTGCTGGTAATGGTTCTGGCGCTGCTTCTGCTGCTGCTGCTGCTGCTGCTGCAGGAGCCGCTGCTGGTGCTAGTGGCGCTGCTGCCCCTTCCTCCGCGAAACGCCTCCGTGCTGCTGACCCTGCCACTGCTTCCGCTGGCGCCATTGTTGCTGCCAGCACTGCTGCTGCTACTCCCGCTGCTGGGAGCGAAACACCCTCACTTGCTGGAGCAGGAGCAGGAGGAGGGGGGTTAGCAGGTTCGGGCAGCGGGAGCGGGCGGATGAATTTCCAAGGAGCGAATTCCGTGAAAACAACAGCGTTTGAGGAGGAGGCAGTGAGAACGATGCGAGCCTATTGGATGCCTTCTGCCACTCCTGACGCGCCCAAGAAGGTCGACCCGCCTCCCACTGACACCACGTGTCCGGAAGGCTGCGGGAAGCTTCGCCTCAAGGACCTTTTCCCGGTTGTTTTCACGCCGCTGCCGCTGCCGGACCAGCCTCTTGGCTTCGGCGGAGGCTCGGGCGGAGGTTCGGGAGGAGGTTCGGCGAAGCAGGTGACGACGTCGGCTGCGGTGAGCAACGGTGGAGCGCGGTACATGTGCCCTGCGTGCTCCACCACCCTCACTAATGCTTCGAAACTCTCGGCTATAGTTGCATGTGGGCACGTGCTGTGCCGTCGGTGCATTGAGAAATTCGTTTCTGCTGATGGGGCTTGCACAGTCTGTGGGACAGCCGTGGAGGGTGGTGGTGCTGCTGGGAGTGGGAAAGGGGGGGAGAGGAGGGGGTTGGTGGAGCTGGCGTGTGGAGGGACGGGGTATGCGGGGCATGGGGATGGGCTTGTGGCAAAGGCGTTCAAGCCGCTGGGGAGTGGGCCTGCTGCTGCCCCTCCTATCAAACCCACACGCCTGCTCTGATTTGACTGGAGGGTGTTGGTGGAGCTGGCATGTGGAGGGACAGGGTATGCGGGGCATGGGGATGGGCTGGTGGTGAAGGCGTTCAAGCCGCTGGGGAGTGGCCCTGCTGCTGCTCCTCCTATCAAACCCACCCGGCTGCTCTGATTGGCCAATGGCCAGGCTTATACTTTCCGCTTGGGGAATGCAGCTGATTTGTGAACTGAAGTGGGTTGCTGCTGGTGATTCTGGATGGGTGGGATGGGGGGAAGGGAAAGCAGTCCGGCTTTTGAGACGTCTCAAAAGTGCAGCTGATTTGTGAACCAAAGTGGGTTCGTTTGCTGGTGGTGCTGAATGAGTGGGATGGGGGGAGGGAAAGCGGATAGGCTGTGGGGGGGTGTCGAGGATAGGCTGTGTCTGTTGTGTGCTCTTTTTTCAGCACGCTGTGATCTGAAGGGGGAGAGAGTGGAGGAGTTTATGATGATGATATCTTTTGATTACCCTGCTGTTTGGCGCCCGAACCATCGATTTCGCACCCATGTTCTACCCATCTGATCCAACTGACGTTTTAAACTTCCTACGGGCTCGTATCGTATCGTACCGGTGCGTACCGTATCAGCAAAACCGTAGCAGCAGCATAGTGCCTTCCCCTTTTTGGTAGCATAGCAGCAGGTCCCTTGATAGCAAAGAGTGGCTTACTGGCAGTCTGTCCTTACTAGTGCCACTTCAGCAGTTTGGCCTGGCCTGGTGGGGTCGGGCCCTCTTTCTGCTCAGTCTTTAGAGGCAAGATTTTCTTTTTGTGTTACTGTATGCAGAAGCACTCTCACTAAGAAAAGGCACATCCACCAGCCAGCTACTGGCTGAAGCAGCAACTTCTTAGCTATTTCTCAAGCCAAGACAACAGGCTTTTCAAACCCAAACGACCAGGTTCTTCAGGTGGGATAGAAAACTGGTAACTGGCTAGATAAGATTAATAATAGCTGTACAATTAATTACATTAGTGTCAAAAATGGGATGCTGCTCTACTGGCCTCCCCAAGGCTTGGGGTTGCTGACCAGTTACTGGTACTAAAACGAAGCTCCTCTCCAGCGGCATTGGCGCTGATACTTTGTCCCTGTACAAGCCGCTCCGGTATAGGCTTCCGCAGGTAACCTCTTGCTCTAATATCGGCTTAAGCCCTTCGATCTAAACCCTTCGCAGATTGACGACACTCCACTCGAAGGGAAAGCTGATGGTTATGTTAGGGTTTCCAAGCGTCTGCGACGATTCGTACGCGTTTGCGAGAGACTCTAGGTGTCAACGACGGGTCGCAGCGCGAGGACGACGATCCAATCAGCGGCGGCGGGGCACAGCACCGACTTGGGCCACTGGAACGACTGCTTCTGCTCTGCCGAGACGTCGCGCTGACGTTTGCGATCTGCCACGTCATCGTCATCATCAGACCGCTTGCGCTTAGATGATTCGCTCCCCGCTGCTGCTGCTGGTACAATCGAATCAGAATCGGAATCGGAATCGAGGCCGTAGTCGAACGGGGAGGTCGGGGAACGCGGAGTTGCGCAAACCAGCGCCGCTTTCCGCGCGACTTCCTCTCCCTCACCCCCCTCCGCAACCTCCGCGAGGAACGGATGCGCCAGCAGCTCCGCCGCAGTCCACCGCTCCGAAGGGTTCCTCCGCAGGCAGCACTCAATAAACCCGCGTACCGCCGCCGGAACCTCCGCCGCAATCCGCGGCATCGCATCCGTGCAGGAAACAGCGTAAAGCACGGAGAACATGCCACCTGTCACGTCGGACCACGCGGGGCGGCCAGTAGCCATCTCGAGGACGGTACACCCGAGAGACCAGATGTCGACCGCGGGGGTCTGCTGCTCCCCGCGCCCCACCTCCGGCGCCATCCAGTTCGCCGTTCCGCGCAGCCCGTGGCTTGCGCCGGTAGCGGCAGCGTCGGCGGCGGACCAACCCGCGACTTCGCGCGCAGCAATGGTGGTGGCGGCTGCGGCGGCGGGGGAGGTGCTGCTGACACGGAAGGCGGCGCCGAAGTCGGCGATTTTGACGTGGCCGTCGCTGGTGAGGAGCAGATTTAGGCTCTTAATGTCTCCGTGAACGACGCTCCGCTCGTGGATATAGCAGAGCCCCTTAACGACGTCCTTAGTGAACTTTTTCAGAGTCAACGTATCGAGCCCGCGGCAGCAACCCGACGAGGATCTCAAAAGCCCCGCGACGGAGCCGCCCGCGGCGTACTCTAAGTACAGGTTGCGGACCTTCGCGTCGCCTTCTTGCGACCAATCCGCGCCCCGGAATCCCACGATCTGCTCGCACTCGAGGGTGGAGAGAATGGAGATCTCGTTTTCCAAGGCTTCCACTGCGCCATTGTTGTTTCTCAACCGCTCTTGTTGCTGAGGCGACGCCTGCGACGCTTGCGACGATGCGGACTTCACTGCGAAAAAATCGCCCGACGTGTTGTCGACTGCCATGTGCACGCGACCGAAGGAGCCCGATCCTAACAAACGACCTCGCTTCCATTCTGAGGGGGTGTCGGAATTTCTAAACTCGATAGCCATTTCGTAACAGAGAGAAACAGTCTTCGAAAGTTTTAAGGATAGCTGTGAAGGTTGCTGGGCTTGCAACACAAACTCCAGCTGGTTTCGTGAACTGGAATGAGCTGCAGTCCAGCTTTACTCAGAAAAGAGAAGTCGAGGAGTCACTGCCGCTGAACTGAATTATGCTGTGGTCTGGTTTGCGTTTTCTCCCTCCCTCCCATCCCATCCATCACGCTTTATTCAAACGCGAGAACGTTCGTCGCTTCCCATTGGTGGTACGTCTGGCTTCGCGCGTGCGAGTGCGATGCGCTATTTTTGCGCGGCTTTTCCCCTTCTGCTTGATGTGTAGGCTACGCTGCACGGTGCAGCAGAGGAGGGTGGTGGTGGTGCGGTGGAGTGGACGTATGGATGGATCGAGATTCGATGGTTGGGGTTTGCTTATTGCTGTTGGAAAGATGGGCAGGGCAGAATATAACAGCATTGGCAGCATAGGATGAACGTGTAGACTAGATCTGCGGCGTCGAAATTTGCTGTAAAACATTTCCGGAATCCTGCCCCAACAGATAGCGATCCGAGATTTGGGGGTCTCGGTGCAAAACGACAGAAAATTATTGCCCCGAATATGGATCGTGCAGGGTGGGAGAGGGAGGAGGGCGAGGCGAGGGGGGACCAGGGGCGGAGGGTGGAGAAGGTGGCGAAGTTGCGAGTTCGTCGTGACAACGCAACCATCGGCTTGGTGTGTGGGATGCTCAATTCATTGAGGCGTTGCAAATGTACCACGTGGAAGGGTCTGCATTTGCAAACAAGAGATTTCTGTCTGGATCGTCGCTTTGGTTCTGATCCAAACCGATTCGCATTGATTTCCTGGTTTCTTTCAGGTTGATGCGGCAACGGACCGAGTTATGACCACCGCACCACGACCTCACGTCGGACCGCTTTTGTCAGAACCATGGCACATGCACTGTGAACGAAACGCTGCCTGAAGCTTCCTCATAATCTCATCACATGGGACCATCCAGAAACGCGAAACGTAGTTTGCCGGAGGAACCACAGAATTTTCCGATCCCCGTGGAAGGCGTTTGGAGCCTTGAATTGGCGTGCGCCGTGCCTTGGGAGTTTCAAACAAGCAAACAGTTTGAGGTACGCAACAGTGTGTCGATAGTTTGAACTTTTTTTGTGTGCGGTTTGCGGCGAAGTGGATGGCGAGGAAATGACAACCACAGCCGCGTTGGCTAGAAATAAAAAATCTGGTTGGTCCAATCCAAACCTGCACGTACAGCACGGAATCCTTGTGGACAATGTGGCTGACGCTGGACAACGCGAAGAATTTGGTTGGCTGGACGAAATGCTATGGACCAGCTGCCACGGAATCGACGTGGATTCACGCTGTGCTGGACAGCGGTGCTGCAACTTGGATTGACCGCAAAAATATCGCGGCTCGATTTAACCTTGGTGTGTGTGGGTGGAGCAAACCCAGCCATTGTACAGTAGCAGATCTAGAAGGATAGCACGAGCTGTGCTGCAATACGCTTCCAGACAACACTCAAACAGGTCTGGCAAAGCATACCAGTCACCCTTCGATTCAGACGTTTGCAGTGTATACTGAGGATGTAATTGGTACAGATGAGCAGCACACGAAATTTATAATACCCATCTTCGGAAACTCAGGAATTTGCACAACTCCCGAACTCTTCCACTCGCACATCACTCATGCGCAGGGTATGGTGGTGGAGATGGACGAGTATTTTACAAAACGACTCATAGTCTACAGGTATTTGTAAAAAAACTCGAACGAAATAGCATGAAACCCTAGAACACGTGAACAACAGTGTAGTGAATGAATGACATGCAGTCTATAGTACCAGGTTCTCAAGCAGGTGCCTTCTCCCTCCACCTCATGTCGCACACATGAGCTCAGGCCGAAGCCGTCCACATGATGTCGCAGATGTCCACGCAGGGGCACCTCCAATTCCTCCTGGCTGCAGAATCTAGAACCTCCGCTCAAGACACGTGAAGGATTTCAATGTCACTTCACTTCCTGTCGTTCCCCGAGGCGCGCACTCCACATCGTGCTCGCGCTTCCTTCCTTTTTGGGATCCATTTTGGCCTCCCATATTCCATCCACTCACCTGCTCCTTTCCCTTGGCATCCCTGTTCTTGCATACTGAACCCTCTACAACCTCAATCCGTATTGCAAAACATTTACATAACAAGGCATGTAAGAAATGACAAAAAATAAGGATTCTACAAAGAACACAAACGTGCCTAACAAGTAGCTTTATCTCTTCCAAACGTCCATCTTGGTTTTCATTATATCGCACCAGTATATTGTACGGATTAATAAAAACACACAATCGCCAGCAGCTGAGCAGTACCGTACTACCGTATCATGTAGAGCATCACATCACCACCACCAGCCCCCTCAACTGCAGCACCCACCAGAGGTCTCTTAGAGGTGGCAGCAGCAAAGTGCACAGGGCGAAGGAGAGTTGACGCGGTCTGGTAGACTCTTAACACAACTTTTCCTCGTCCTCCATCTAACACCTCGACAGAGCTCTCCTCGTGAAATTTCCAGCACCACCAGCAGAAGCAGTAGTGCTTGCAGTAAAACCTTCCCCAGTAGAGCCTTCACCAGCAGAGCCTCCCTCGACCTCCTCCCCACCAGGACCCCCAGCAGCACCCACCAGAGGCTTCTAAGTGGTGGCAGAAAAGAGCAGAGGGTCGATGAGAGTCGAGGCAGTCTGGTAGACAAGCATGTCTCCCAGGATGTAGGCTGGGGGGAGGGATGGGGTGGGGTGGGGTGGGGTGGGGTGCGGTGGAGTGGGGGGAGCGGTGGTTTAGGGTGGGGTGGAGTGGGGTGAAGATGGGTGAAGTTTGGGGCGTCTCAAGAACGTAAGAGGAGAGGGTCGATGAGAGTCGAGGCAGTCTGGTAGACAAACATGTCTCCTAGGATTTAGGCTGGGGGGAGGGGGCAAGAAAAGGTGGAGTGCAGTGCAGTGGGGTGGGGTGGGGTGGGGCGGGGCAGAGTGATATTTGAAGCGCTTCAAGAACTAAAGAGGTGAGGGCCGATGCAAACAATCATGTCACTCAGGATGTAGGGTGGGGGGTGCGGGGGGGGGGGAGGAGGGGGGGGAGGGGGGAGGGGGGGGGTATTGAAGCGTGTTAAGAACAGGAAAGCAGAAGGTGGGCACACAGCCGATAGCAGCGCTCCTGACACAGTAGCAAACACGAGCTCGAGCGAGTAGCCCAGCGTTCTCTTTATCAGCCAATAGCACACACACACACCGCCGATAGCAGCGCTCCAGACACAGTAGAGAGCACGAGCGTGAGGGAGTAGCCCAGCGTTCTCTTTGTCAGCCACAAACCCATGCATCGTTGCATAACCAGAAGGAACCAAATAAAGCTTACCATAGCTTGTGGTCCTAGGTCCCACACAGCGCACACACACGGCTGATAGCAGCGCTCCAGAGGCAGTAGCGAACACGAGCTTGAGCGAGTAGGTGAGCGTTCTCATTACTGGTCACACGCCCATGCATCTCTGCTGTAACACCAAGGAACCAGGATAGAGCTTACCATAGCTTGTGGTCCACGGCCCCACGTATCGCACACACACGGCCGACAGCAGCGCTCCAGAGGCGGTAGAGAACACGAGCTTGAGAGAATAGCTCAGCGTTCGCTTTACTAGCCACACGATCTGCACTCCTGTGGCCCTCACAGGGCTTATAGCGAGCCCCTGACCCGCTTGTGGTGGTGGTGGTGGGAAGAGTAGGCGGTGGAAGGCGGTGAAGGTATCCGTTATAAGCTGCACTGCTACACTGGATAGTGGGCTCAGGAAGTGTGCTGGTGTGGGGGGGAAGAATGGAGAGGAAGTGGGAGGGGAGGAGCGGGCGAGGGGGAACGGAGCACACCGTAATAAGTTGCACTGATGTAGAATCAGTAGGGTCGCTTCTGAGACCTCTCAAAAGCGAAGCACAACATTTTAAGTTGCACTGATATAGTATTAGTAGGGTCGGGACCTGGGCTGATTGAGCAAGGGAGGAAGGTGAGGTGAGGAGTCTAGAAATTTGGGAGGTGCGGTGAGGAAGCAAGGGAGGCAGTAGTTACTGGGTGTCGCAAAAAATGGCGATGCAAGAAGGGCAGCACTGTTTAGGCGCCATATGAAGTGCATTTTGAGGCGCCTTTTGAGGCGCATTTTGAGGCGCCTCAAAGTGCAAGAAGGGCAGCACTGTTTAGGCGCCATAGATCATGAAGCTGCAATGCAATGGAAAGCAACATTGATTGGGTACAAAAGAGATTTGGTGCATCTGTTAGGAAAAGCAGACTTTTGAGGTGCCTCAAAAGTCGCTGCAGACAATGAAGTTGCAAGGAAGGCAACATTCATTAGTAACAATAGATAATAAGCGCATCATTGAAAGTGTGCGCAGGAAAAGCAGCTATCTCTAGGCGCCCATTGAAAGGGGGAAGAACAGAATGCATGAAAGGAAAGTTAGAGAAGACAGGAGAGAGAGAGGAAAGGGATTGGGAGAGGCAGACGCTTATACCTCTGACGTTGGTGATTGTAACGGATTTGATTAGAGGGGAGCCTGTGAGACCCCTGCCCACCTTGCGAATGGCTGACTGGGTGGGATCTGGTGTGGGGCATATGGAGGGAGGGAAGATAGCGAACGGAAGAGCAAAGGGAAGAAGGGAGGGCACCTTAACAACTGCCTGTGAGTCCCCTGCTGCTGACCTTGCAAATGGCTGACTGGGTGGGATCTGGTGTGGGGCATATGGAGGGAGGGAAGAGAGCGAACGGAAAAGCAAAGGGAAGAAGGGAGGGCACCTTAACAACTGCCTGTGAGTCCCCTGCTGCTGACCTTGCGAATGGCTGACTGGGTGGGATCTGGTGCGGGGCACATGGAGGGAGGGAAGAGAGCGAACGGAAGAGCAAAGGGAAGAAGGGAGGGCACCTTAACAACTGCCTGTGAGTCCCCTGCTGCTGACCTTGCGAATGGCTGACTGGGTGGGATCTGGTGAGGGGCGTTGGGAGGGAGAGAAGGCGGAAAAAGGAGGAAGTGGTTTGAGACGCCTTGTACACTGCTTGTGAGTCATCCGCTGCTGACTCTGCGATGGCTGATTGGGTGGGGTCTGGAGAGGGGCGTTGGGAGGGAGAGAAGGCGGAAAAAGGAGGAAGTGGTTTGAGACGCCTCGTACACTGCTTGTGAGTCATCCGCTGCTGACTTCGCGAATGGCTGACTGGGTGGGGTCTGGAGAGGGGCGTTGGGAGGGAGAGAAGGCGGAGAAGAAATGGGGAGAAGTGACTTGTGAGACGTTTCAAGAGGACCTTTAAGTCAACTCACTTTTGAGAATTCTCAAAACCGAGACGTTTCAAGAGGACCTTAAAGTCAACTCAAAAGAGACTTTTGAGATGCTTCAGAAACTGCTTGTGAGCCTCCCCTGCTAAATTGAGATGCTTCCAATGGGCCAAATTGTTGGGTGTAGGGTTTAGGGTGGTTAATGGGAAGGGTGCATGGAAGGGGAAGGCAGTGGTTTTTGAAACGCCGTTTTGAAACGCCGCAAACAACTGCTTGTGAGTGCTCCCCTGCTGACCTTGCGCATGACCAAGTGGGGATGGGATCTGGTGAGAGGCGTAGGGAGGAAAGATTGAGAAGCGAGGAGTGGAGCTGGAAACACTACCAAACACTTTTTCTCTCTCACACACTCACGCTCACTGCTTTCCCTAACGATCTATCTCACCCGTCGTTCGTTTCAGCAGCCAATGGCCAGATACGGAACGAGCCACATAGAAGTGCTTCCCTTACCTACCTCCCTTCTCTCCTCTCCCTCCCTTCTTTCCCACATGATCATCTCACCCTTGGTTGATTACAGCAGCCAATGGCCGGATACGGAACGAGCCACATAAAATAAAAGTGCTTCCCTTACCTACCTCCCTCCTCTCCTGTCCCTCAGCCCACTCAACCTTGGTCAGCTTACATAACCACCGGGCCGGGCAGACATAGTTCGAGCCACATACAAATGCTGACCACTCCCCTGCATTCCCTCAGCCCACATACAAGTGCTTTGCATTCCCTCACGACCATCTCACCCTTGGTCAGCTTCCACAGCCAGCGGGCAGACACGGTGCGAGCCAGATAGAAGTGCTCCCTCTTTCTGCATTCCCTCGCCGCGTTCATTCCTCTCCACACGATCAGCTCACTCACCCTTGGTCAGCTTCCACAGCCAGCGGGCAGACAAGATTCGAGCCACACAGGAGTGCGTCCCTCTTCCTGCATTCCCTTTCCCCGTGCATACTCGCCCCGTTCATTCCTCTCACACACGACCATCTCACTCACCCTTGGTCAGCTTCCACAGCCAGCGGGAAGACACGGTTCGAGCAAGATAAAAGTGCTCCAGCGCCCTGCGCACTGATATCACGGCCATCTGAATGGGGGAGATGGGGAGAGAAGGGGTGGGGAGGGGAAAGGTGGGATAAGATGGGAAATTCTTATTGACAAGATAAAAGTGCTCCAGCGCCCTGCGCACTGAGATCACCGCCATCTGAATGGAGGGGGAGAAGGGGAAGAGGGGGAAGGGGGGAAAGAAAGGAAGAAGGGGAAGCGGAGAGGGGGAGCAAGACAGGTGATTGTTGTTGACAACATAAAAGTGCTCCAGCGCCCTGTGCACTGATATCACCGCCATCTGATGGGGCGGGGAGGAGTGGGGGGAACGTGGGGAAGGGGAAGGGGAGGGGGAGGGGGGGGAGGGGGAGGGGAATAAGTGGAAGGGGGATGTGGAAGTGCTCCAGCGCCCTGCGCACTGATATCGCAGCCATCTGAATGGGGGCGAGAGGGAGGAAGGGGAGAGGGGTTAGGGGGAAAGGGCGGAAGAGGGGAAAATCTTGTTGTTAACATGGTGGAAGTGCTCCAGCGCCCTGCGCACTGATATCATGACCATCTGATGCGGGAGAGAGGGGGGGAGCGAGGGGGGGAGCGAGGGGGGGAGCGAGGAGGGTCAAGACAGGAAATTTCTGTTTGGCAATGTGGGAGTGCTCCAGCGCCCTGCGCACTGATACCATGACCATCTGATGCGGGAGAGGGGTGGGGCGGGAGAGAGGGGGGAGAGTGGGGAAGGAGGGAGCGGGAAAGATGTAGCGGGCATTGGGATCTTCCAATGTGGAAGTGCTCCAGCGCCCTGCGCACTGATACCATGACCATCTGATGCAGGAGAGGGGTGGGGGGGGCCGAGGAAGGCGAGAGCGTGAAGGGGGTAGGGGGCATTGGGACAGAGATCACAGTTATTTGCAGGGGTAGATGGGGGAAGGGGGGGGGGAGAAGAGTCGGTTTTTGAGTCGACTCAAAAACCGACTCACTACACAAGGGGGTAGGGGGCATTGGGACAGAGATCACAGTTGTTTGCAGGGGTAGATGGGGGAAGACTCGATTTTTGAGTCGTCTCAAAAGGCGAGAGCGTGAAGGGGGTAGGGGGCATTGGGACAGAGATCACAGTTGTTTGAAGAAGTAGATGGGGGAATGGGGGGGGAGAAGAGAAAGTGGGGAAGGTGGGGAAGGGGGAGTCGGGGAGAAGGCATGTGGAATCTGCGCACTGAGATCACAGCCATGGCGCCAAGAGCTGAATTTTGAGTCGATTCAAAAGTCACCTCTTTTTGAGTCGATTCAAAAGTCACCTCTTTTTGAGTCGACTCAAAAGGGCCCTGCGCACTGAGATCACAGCCATGGCGCCAAGAGCTGCAATTGACAAGACCCACCCATGTGGACCCACCCATGTGGACCCACCCGAATGCACCGAGCCAACTAACCTCCCAAGCGCGCCAGTCCCACTCACCTCTCTGAGCGACAGCTGCATTGTGCATGCAGCAATCCGCCCAGCACCCATATTCCGCAACGCTGCACTCTTGTTCTTGATACGTCTCACACTCCACCCAAATGCACCAACCCCACTCACCTCTCCAAGCGACAGCCATGCCGTCCCGGCAGCAATCCGCCCAGCACCCCATGCTCTTCTAAGAGCCTCGAATTTTGCCCAAACATACTCACCTCACAGATGGACCAATCCTACCCTACCCACCTCCCTGAGCGACAACCACGCCGTCCCTGCAGCAATCTGCCTCTCCCTCCTTGCCTCCCACATGCGTCAGTCCCACTCACCTCTCTGAGCGACAGCCACGCTGTGCCAGCAGCAATCCGCCCAGCACCCATATTCCGAAACGCTGCAATCTTCCTCTCCCTCTCCGCTGCCTCCGCCGCTCTCCTCCTCTCCCTCTCCCTCCTCGCCTCCTCTTCTTCCTCTTCCTCCTCCTCCTCCTCCTCCTCCTCTTCCAGACTGGGGGCCTGAGCCTCTATATAGTCTGCAAACAGAGGGAGGATTTGGATAAGGCTGTTTCTCACAGCCATTATCAGCATGCCACGTGGACAGAAGGCGGAGTAGAGAGATCTCAGCTTCACCGTGTAGAGCTTCCCGTCCACTCGTTCCGTGATGACGTTTGGTGTTCTGCTGATGTCAGCACGAGCGCGAGCATCTTCGTCATCAGAAGCTGCTGACGCTGTTCCGGAAGCTTCGCTTCCCTTCCCGTTGCTCTGCTCCTTTCGAGGACCTGTTCCCGAGCCTGTGCGCGTGGCTTGGTGACTCCATGGCTGGAAGGTCTGGTCCGAGGCTGTTTCGGCTCGGCAGTGCGCGACGGGGAGGAAGCGTGAGAGGAGGGGTGAGGAGGGTGCGTGGGAGGAGAGAGAGGTGGGGCGAGCGACGAGGGGAAGAACTGCCTTGGGAAGAATGGAGAGAGGATTGTTGCTGCTGATGCTTCTAATGCTGCTGATGCTGATGCTGCTGATGCTGCTGATGCTGATGCTGCTGATGCTGATGCTGGTGGTGGTGGTTGGAAATTGGTTGGAATGGAAGCGACCTGAGAGCACCGCAGACCTGCACGCATCGGATGGCAAGGGATTACACATGTCAGAAAAGAAAGGGTACAGGAATCTAGATAAATGTAATTGCGCGTAATGGAACAAGCCTGGGCGTGCGGACAGACCTGAAAGCGGACCCATGGGCGTCGCCACCCCGCGACGTGAAGTACGACCTCGTCGCGTAACCTCGATTCGTGCCTTTGACCGGCCCGGCAGACGCCATTTCGCCGTTTAATGTCACTTCAGCACACGAATTCGCTGTCCAAATCTCAGCAGGTTCGTCGTTACAGCACGATCCGAAACGAGATGAACGGCGACAAATGACTTCTTGGGCCTTGCTGCTGGCGCAAGGATCTAGGGTTTTTCGCGTTCTGCGAGATCGCCAGGTTTTGTGGACAACGGCGAATTCCTATAGCAGAGAGCGGAACCAATAGATTGGGCTGGGAGCACTTCAAAAAGCGCAGGAAACGAGAATCTTGAGCGACGGAAGAAGGGGAAAGGGAGAGCCAGTATCTCCCAATGTAACTTCAGTCCACATTACTGGCTCCTAAATACGGGGCTTCAAGCTCCTAGAGTACGTAACTTCCAGTCTATTTGTGGTGCAGTGAACTGGAGCTCCCAGGGCGGTTCATGCGTTCGGCCTTGGTTTCACCCGACCTTTCAAACATTTTTTTTTCGGATTTCGAGGTTTTGCTGGGCTACCGTTTCGCATCTTGAAACAACAATCGACGATTGGTCTTCTGGTTGACCTGCTCCAGCGGAGGTGTCCGTTCGCCGCGACGATTGATCTTCTCGCATGCTTTCGTCCGTGTGACTCATTCGATGTAACCCCTTCGAGTTTTCGTTTCGTGAGGCTCAAGCTCCCCATGAGGTGGAGGCAGAGATGTGGCTGTGCTGAACGAATCGTGTCATGTCGAGTGAACCGACCCCCAAGATTGCATACACAGTCTGAACATATTTGCCAATGGGACAATCCGACCCAAAATTCAGCACTAGATTTCTGTGTTGTTGGTCCCATTGGCACCCAATTGAACGAACTTCGGTCGGAGGGCAAACCTCTCAAACGCCCACCTCACGCAACTCCAGCTCACATCCACCACTCCTCTTGCAGCTTGATCTGTTTCCCGCCAATTTTCTGACACCAGAATCCAAAAGCCACATCGAGATTCGAAAAATCCGACAACCCCAAGGCTGATTCGGCTGCCACAGGGCATCGACCGAGGGATGGGGGGAGGGATCAGATTTGCAGCTAGGGTTTCTAGTTCGGGGTGGTCAGCTCGGAGTCAACCGTCGTTGACTCCAAGTCTGGAGTCCAGGCGGAAGCGGAAAGTTTGGGGGAAAAGGCGCGGAGGAGCGACTCGGGAAATGGGGGCCCACGAAACTGCAGCCGCGCGAAACGAAACTTCGCGAGCTGAACAGTTTACTGCTGCGATTTGTTTGGGTAGCTTGCTCAACTTGAATTCTGTACACCATAAATTAATTCAAGGGTGTAAATGACGATTCGACCTTATTTAATTTTGGCGAGTTCATTTCGAATCTTTGTGTTTAGCATTATAGTTTTAATGTCCGGGTTATTTGTTTTTTAGAGTGTGAAGTAAATGTATAAACGAAAATTGTGGAAGGGGGCATGGATTTTTCATTCCCCGTGGGCTGAGACCACCCACGGGAATGCACTTTCCATGCCCTGAACACTAGGGCGGAGTTTTTCCGCCATGGGGGGGAATTCTTGAAATTGAAGTTATAGACGAGGGAGGGTAAATGGTAAGGAGAAAGAAAGAAAACACCTAGAAAGAAAAGGTAAGATCAAAGTAAAACCAAGTTGAAAAGCAAAAACAAGTTGAAAGGAAATCTTGAAGTATGGAGTAATTAAGAATGAAGAAAGTTTTGAAGGAGAAGATAGATAGACTTGATAGGGATAAAAGGGACCAAACAAGATTGGCTTAAAAGAAAGTATTGAAGAAAAGGTAAAGGGCTTGAAAGATACTTGAAAGGAACTTGTAACGAACTTGAGAATAAGAACTTGATTATTATGGAAAGAGCTTGAATATAAAACAACTTGATAATAGCAAATGAACTTTGATGTAAAAGAAACTTGGTGAAAAAAATGAGAGGAAGGGATAACCACTTACTTGAAAAGAATTCTTACTATTATGTTGTAGAAGTTGATCTTCACTTCAAGCTTAAATGTTGTCTTAGTTGTTAATGAAGAACCTCAAAGCTTGAATGTTGAGAAGTTGATCTTGAATGTTGACTTGTAGATAATGTTTGTTGAATGAAGAGAAACCTCCAAGCTTGGATGTTGAGGTTGGAGCTTGGACCTTGGGTAGAAGAATACACCAATCTTGCTTGAAGCTTTAAAGTACATTAATCAAAGGGAGGTACATGGTAGGATCTTGAGATCAACTATCCTTGATGATCTAGAAGTAAAACTATGTGGCACAAACTTCTCTAGAATTGGAGCATATGGCTATGAGCTTGGGTTGGGAGAGGTTGGTGGTGATGATGAAGCCTTAGGAGTTGGAGCATAAGGAGGAGGACTTGAGGTTGGCCTTGAGGGAGTTTGAAGAACTTGTTGAGAGTTTGGGTATGAAGTAGCATTGAAGAATATTTTTTTGAAGAAATGAAGAGGACCCTTTTGTATTTGGTGGAGCTTGATGTTGGATGAAGGATGAGGAAAGGATGAATGGTTGTGATTGGTTGAGTTGGATAAGATGGGGGTGATGAATGTGGCCTTGAAGTGAAGGCTTGGTGAAGAGAATGAATGTGGCCTTGAAGTTAAGGCTTGGTGAATGGGATGTATTTGGCTTTGATTTTAAGGCTTGGTGAGTGGAATGAATGTGGCTTGGATTGGAAGGCTTGGTATGGAATCTTTTGTTTGATTGGTGGATAATGGGATGAGAAAGATGATGAGGATAGGAGGAGAGTTGAGGTGGAGGATTGATAGGTTTTGATTGGTAGGTTTTTGCTGTCTGGAGATAAGAAGGGTGTGGTGGCGAGTGGGCATTTTTGCAAGATGCCTTTTGCATATTCGGATTTTGGCTGACGGGGAAATTGCGGCGAAAAATTTCGCCACGTGAAATATTTCCCGCCACCCTGGTGCCACGCGAGCAGCAGCCACAGTTCACTGCAACACCCCCCCGCACTGCTGACCCTCAGAGCGAGACGAAGGAGCGGAAGGGACAGCAGTGGAGAAGGACTCAAGAGACTCGAGCGGCACCAATCCAACACGGTGGCGTCCAAGGACGAATAGGTGCCGTGGAAGTATCTTAGTCAGAAAATCAGCAGCCTGGTCCGTGGTGCTGCAGTAGACCGGTGTCACAACCTTGTTCTTAATCAGCTCCCGAATGTAGTGATACTGGGTATCAATATGCTTGGTGCGTCCATGATAGACCGGGTTCTTGCTCAAGGCGATTGCCGACGTGTTGTCAATGTGGAGAACGGTCGGCTCAAGCTGGGGAAGACCCAACTCCATCAGCAACCCTCGCAACCACACAGCCTCTCTTGCTCCTTGCGTCACAGCCATGTACTCAGCTTCCGTTGAAGATAGTGCCACACAGCCTTGCTTCTTCGATTGCCAAGAAATCGCTGCTCCCGCCATCACAAACATGTAGCCTCCCGTGGATTTACGCTTTGAAAATGGACCTGCCCAATCCGCATCCGTAAAGCCATGCAAGACACTACCATGCTCATGTCCATGAAAGAGGAGACCAAATGATTTAGAGCCGGAGAGATAGCGCAGGACACGCTTTGCAGCGTTCAAGTGCTGAGTAGATGGTGAGGAAAGGAATTGAGAAAGCATGCCCACAGCTTGAGAGAGATCGGGGCGGGTGCAGACGGATGCGTACATGAGGCTACCGACAATGCTCTGATAAAGATTAATGTCGAGGGGGGAAAGGAGTGATGAGGGAGGTTTGGTGGAAGAAAAAATGGAAGAAGAGGATGAAGGCGCAAGAGCCTCGTGAAACTCGTCCCAGTCAGAAAGGGGTGCAGACTGAGAGGGCTGAAGGTCAGAAGTGGAAGGAGAAGAATGCTGGAAGTTAGAAGGGAGAGGTGTAGATGCAGGATTGCAGGTGAGAAGGCCGAAGCGAGAGAGGACCTTGTGAATGTATCGCTCTTGTGAAAGAAATAGAGAGCGAGAAGGACGGTCACGAATGATGTTCATGCCAAGGTAATATGATGGCTCACCCATGTCTGTCATGACAAACTCCTTGGTGAGCATACCTTTGATGTGGGTGAGAAGGGAGAGAGAACCTGACACCATGAGGATGTCATCCACATACACGATCAACCACAGTACCTCATGCACCTCCGTGTGCAGGATGTAGAGTGCAGGGTCATACTCAGACTGGGTGAAACCTTGTGCCAGCAGGGCAGACTCCAATGCGTGATACCAAACCCGTGGAGCTTGCTTCAGGCCATACAGGGACTTGTGCAGCCTGCAGACTCTCTTAGTACCATCATGATACCCATCAGGTTGAGCCATGTAGATTTCT